TGTGTAGAAGTAGTCTATCTGTGTAGAAGTAGTCTATCTATGAACGCAAGCTCCTTTGAGTCGTCTACGAACTCACCCCAACTTGTAGCATAGAACTTTGAAGAGCTCTGCTACTGCAACTAGTACATGACACTTTAGATTTCGATCCGCTATGGGAAGAGTACGGTTGCAAAGTTGTCCTGTTTCTAGTGTTGCTCGTTGTCGGGGGTTCACTTTGTCGTAGATCGAAGCATCATTAGTGGCGCTTGCTAATCTACGCTCTTTTCTGTGGCGGGAGGAACCTAGATTGTTGAGTGTGTCCTCTCAATCGCAGCTCATAGAATTCGCTCTGTTGACGTGGATTTAAAGAATGTTTGATGTTTAAGATATGTTGATGACAATTAGTAGATCATAATGTAGTGTAGAAAATAAGCAAAAAGACGAAGTAGATTAGGTAAGGCTATTATGTACATACCTGTTGTGATGCCAAGGTATGACTGTGAAACTAATACACAGGGCGTTGACTGTTCAAAAATATGAGTACCAGGAAAGCCTATTGATCCGCAACGGTCAAATACCAGGTAACAATGCTTGAGAAGGTGCAACGGAACAATTATTTTGATAGTTAATTAGTGATTAGCTCTTCTATGATGATCTCAAAACTACTCTTTTGTTCGAGAGAATACACATGGAGACAAAACGCGAAATTCGATTATAAGAACAGACGTAAAATCAAGAAGTCAGAAAGGAAAACAGTATATAGAAAGCAAAACCAGAAAAATAAAACACAAAAGCCCATAGTCAACCCTAAAACAAATTCTGCGAGCACTCGCCTTATTCCAATCAGCCATCGCAACATTATCCGTAAATATAGGAAACCAACTACACAATTTAATCCCACACCCTCTCTCAACACCAACCCAACTATATCTAACCTTATTCAATTGAACTCTCTCCGCTTCCTCTAAGTTTTCTTCTCCGTTATCCTCGTCAATAATCCGTCATCAACGTCGTGAGTCTCGCGACGCTATACTATGAGCTCTCCCCCATCCAGAGTCTTTATACGCGTACAGATATCCTTACCCACGGCCATTTTGTTATTGTTCGACTCTAGTGGTGCCACCGATGTTGCCGTCGTTTTAGTATAGATTTGTTAATTGGGGGCGAAGAAAACTCGGTGTCGAGATTGGTGGTTTGGTGCTTGTCGGACATCATTGCACCGGGGGTGGGCTGTTGATGTAGGGTGTAAAGATCGCTTTAGGAAGGTTCTGTTCCTGGGATGGCCGTTTCGAAGGAAGAACTGTGCTCGTTGTACTATATCAAAGTGAAGTGTAGGGAAGGAATTTAAGGATTTTCTACTCGAGGAAGTGATTATACATTGCATTACGTTGGTTTGACTCGGGCGTTGAACCCAACACTGCAAAGATCAGAATTGCTACTAACTCCCAATAACTGGAAGCTAATGACTAGACAGTGTACTAAGATATCATATAGTCATGACTATTATGTTACGTGGAGGTTGCGGGTTACTCATATCTGTACACATACTCATTGCTATGACTTCCTCAGAAATGAGCGTAGAAAAGGGTAAGAAGAGTAAACAATATGAGGTTCAACCTGAGTATATGTATAACGTGCTAAAGGGATATTGCTATGCCCCAGTCTTCGATCGAAAAGGCATACCGACCCTATGCTACTGTGTAAAAGGCTTATCTCTCAATTTCTGAATGAAGGAGAAAATGTATGAAGGGAGAAGTGAAGTTCCTGGAAATGTACCTGTGCATGCACTAAAGCCGTTGAAAAAAAATGTACCACAGACATTCTCGAACATGCTAGCCTCGTCTCTACTTCCCTCGTCCGCCGTAGACGAGCCCTTAATTACAAATGAAAAACCCCCTTTTCTTGTTCCTTCATTCCTTCTTTTCCATGTCTTCACTCATCTCCGCAATGCTTTTCGCCCCTTGCTCGCCTCCGTTCCCGACATCCCCCGACCCCGACGCAACTCCGAATCAACGCCGCGTTCAGTCAGTCCATCAATCACGTTTACCACTCGCATCGCGTAATTCCCTCGGGTAATCGCTCGTTGCTAGGCTTACATCAGCGGGTGATTCCGCGAAGCGAAAGGAGGAGCAAAGCAGGGGTAGGTTTTTGAGTTCGGGGTTGGCTCGGCGTTATTGTCTCACACGTTCATGGGTTAATGTATAAGATTGACTGTACGCAACGTTTGAACAAATATTCAAACATACGAATATTCGGGGTTAAGTATTCACATTGCTTCCTCGTACGATATTTGATTCAAAAGACGCATACATTATACTGGGTTGTCTACCAACTCACCAACATTTCACTCTTCCTTGACGCCACCCATCACCCATCACCACAGTGCCATACGCCTCCACCACAACCTCAAATCACACCACACACATCATGTCTTCCTCACCTAAGCCCTCATCCATACACTCCACTGTCTCCACTACAACACGCTCCTCCACCTCTACAACCTCTACACGCAACGCACCCTTATTAGCGACATCAACCTGGAAGAAAGCAGTGAAGAAGCCATTCCAAGGCTGGTCGAAAGAACTTCTCTGGGCGCGGGAGGGCATCGACGACGATTACAATTTTGCGAGTCAGCCGTGGGGGGAGAGGAGGAGGAAATGATGAACTAAAGAACCAGGAGGTGGAGGAAAGACAATAAACATCGCTGATCGTCAGGAGTTGATGATGTAGGTACTTGAACAGATTATGGTTATCAGAGACTGGAGGAAGGACAAGTAAAACGCAGAGAAAGTGGAGATGCGAGCACACAATAAGGCTCGAGATGGGTGAAAACAAGGCCGATGGGGAGGAATAGACAACGACGCATTTTCCAGCCGTAAACATTGACATGTAGAAATCAAAGTTGATTGTGTTATACTAGCCGGCTCGTTCGAGATCTCACAACCATTTCTCCAGCCATGTGTTCTTTTCTCTGGGAGCTTCTTTTTCACGAGTATATGGAGGCGGCGCTCTGGATGCAATTAGCGGAGCTCGGAGAATTGAAGGTTCAATGGGCGAGACCGAGAGTACACGGTGCGGTGATGATTGAGGGACAATGACAGGCAATGAGGGACTGGAAAGAAGTATACCCACATTCTTTTGTACGAGCTTTTTAGGTCCAATTTAACCTCCAGCACTCCCTTGGAGTTCATGGGAGAGACCGTTATCTTAACAAAAGGCTGTTCTATATTTTCGTTCTTGTAGCAAAGAAAAGCATAACTAGGCGAGCCGAAGTCGGACTCAGTCCACATCTCTTCAAGGCGTAGAACGTAAGAGTCTGGATTCCAATGACCTGTAGCGGGGCTTCGAACGATGATTCGTTCACGGAGTGGCGATTACAACGTGCGAAGATACGAGGCGTTATTGAACCAAATTGGGAGAGGTCGAGGGGGGTGCAACGGAAGGCAGATTTAAAAGTTGAGAAGTGATGTAAATTGTTCTCAATTCGGTATTGAGCGAAACATCGAGATCTACGACCTGGAGTGGTTCAATTTTGCGACAATAGACATGAATGGATTCGAGTGGCTTGAGCACAATCCCAAGTGGGCCTCTGAACTCGTCTTCGTAGCGGTAGTTGTGGAGAACTGCAATCACATTTCCTTTAGTCTTGTGGACATTGATCAGCGGCTACTGTACTCGTAACCCTTTGTTTGCCATTTCGAAGGGTGCGCTGTTTGAGTTCACCGTTACAATCTTGGCCCCATCGCAGAACTCAATTGGCATGCTTGCAATAGGTCCTCTGTAGCGACGCCTCTTCCTATTGTCCCAAGCGAGGATAGAGTGATCAATTGAACGTTTTAGAATCTCCTCTTGGAGTCGGAAAAAGGCCCGCTCTCCACCTTCGCCTATAAGAGGGGCATATGAACGTCGAATAGTCCCAATAAACAGTAAGCCATATCCTCAGGCCGCGTTGTTTGTCGGTTGAACGCCCAGGACATGCGTTTTGCAATGCTGAATTGATCGAGATTCAGGTCGTCATGATGCAATGTGATATAGCAGGTGTGGTGTGATACATATAGCGAATGTGGCGAAAGCTGACAAGGTTGGAAAGAGTGATGGAGAATGCAGGTACGGAGCACGTGCCGGCCAAATATTGGGCACTACTCAGATTCACTAAGCCCCTTTCGTCATGACGGCGTACGTGATGATGCCCCACCACTCTGTCGACCAGCGCCAACAACAAGTCCATGGCGAAACCCTCGACCGCCTGTTCGAAGCGTGCCTTCTGGGAGCGCCTGTCCTCTATCCGCATTATCTGAGCCTTGGGACGCATCAGTAGGAAAACCGCGCTTAGAATTTGGGCTAGCCAACCTCAATTTTCAAATTTGGACCACCATCAACAACCCACCCCACTTTTTTCCACTACAGCAACCACATCCATCATGGCAGACTCCCCAGTGTCGCCTCTCAGCATGCCCTCGCGTTTTGCCATGGAGCTCGAGAAACTGGACCCCGAGATACCCTTTCGCGCATCGCCAGCCCACGTCCATCACACGTGGGCGCGCACCTTCCACTCCCGCCCAGAGCTGTATATCCGCCCACAGACGCTCCCCGAGATACAGAAGATAGTGACGCTCGCGCGGCGGATGCGACGTCGGGTCGTCACTGTAGGCTCCGGGCACTCCCCCTCAGACCTCACCTGCACGTCGGCGTGGATGGTGAACCTGGACGACTTCGGCCAGGTGCTGAACGTCGACAACGATCGGAAAAGGATAACGGTGCAGGCGGGCATCCGGATGCACGCAATGAACCTCACAGCGAAGGACCACGGTCTCACGATGCCTACGCTGGGCTCCATTGACGACCAGTCGCTAGCTGGCGCGATTGGGACAGCCACACATGGCAGCTCCATGTCACACGGCCTCCTCTCTGACGCCATCTGCAGTCTACGCATTGTGCTCGCAAACGGCCAGGCGGTGAAGTGCTCACCCTCACAGTCACCAGACCTCTTCCGCGCGGCACTAGTCTCCCTAGGTGCACTAGGCATCATAGTTGAAGTCGAATTCCAGCTGGTCGAGCACCGCAAAATAGAATGGGTTCAGACCATCCTGCCGATCGAAGATGTTTTCGCAAACTGGGGCAACGGCCTCTGGACATCAGATGAGTTCGTGCGTGTGTGGTGGCTGCCTTACATGCGCCGTGCCATTGTTTGGCGGGCGTCCAAGACGACCAAGGCGCAAAGAACGGCTCAATACAACTGGTACGGCGGCAGTGTCGGATACCATACGTACCACATTCTACTTTGGATATCTCAGTACGTTCCTCGCTTCCTGCCTTGGGTGGAGTGGTTTGTCTTCGGCATGCAGTACGGCTTCAAGAACACTACCTCAAGCTCCGCCGTGGAGGAGCAGCGGACTGGACTGCTCATGAACTGCTTGTACTCGCAATTTGTAAATGAATGGAGCATCCCTCTCTCTCAGGGCCCAGAGGCCTTGACACGTCTAACAAAGTGGATCCACGGCGACGAGCAGGGCTCCGGCATCCCCTTCAGCCCCAAAGGAGTATATGTCCACTCGCCCATCGAAGTTCGCGTCGCAAACACCGTTGGTCGATCGCCACGCCCATACCTCGATACTTCCTACTCTGACACACCGTCTCTGTACCTAAACGCCACACTCTACCGCCCCTACGGCCAAGCCCCTCCCTGCCACGAGCGCTACTATGAAGCCTTCGAGTACCTGATGAGAGAAATGAATGGCCGACCCCACTGGGCCAAAAACTTCCACTCCGTCGACCACGCTTACCTCTCGTCGGTGTACGGCACCGACCTCGATGACTACCTCCGCGTGCGCAACGAAGTCGATCCCGAAGGCATGTTCGTTGGAGCTTGGCACCGACGCACCATCCTCCCACTCAAGAGCGAATTGCCCCTTTTCCCGCTCGAGGAGAAAGAAGTGGTGAGAAGGGAGCGCAGGACAGGCGGTGAAGACTGGGTCGGTGAGCAAGCTAGGTGGTTCGATGGCGGGGTGGATGTGTTTGCGAAAAGACATGGGAGTGAGAGTGAGGAGAGCTTTGACTTGATGGCTGGGGCTGAGGCAAGTGTATTACTAGAGAGTCTCCGAGACGATCTGGAGAGCTCGGATGAGGAACGAAAACTGGAAGAAAGTACAGAAGTGAGTGAAAGTATCTTCCCCAAAATACGTCAAGCACGAAAGGCGGCGAAAACGCACATGAATTCGGATGTGGAACAGAGGGCTAGAGAGGGCCCCGATGGACTGCAAGGTAATGAGAATGTGTTCGACAAAATGTAGCGAATGCTTGTCAAATATAAGGGCCTCCTAGAGCTTCATGACCGAAACGATGAGATGAACTTGAGTGTTAGTATTGGGATTAGAAGTTGAAAGAAAGTGTATAACGTAGAACAAAACACACCGCTTCCCTCCTAAATACAATATTTCAAAGGCAAGACTCAGCGGTACGCGACCTTCAGACTCGGGTCTACCTCATATTTCAGGAATTGACTACGCCCCACCTCATAACCCAATTTTCGTGTTCGAAACACTACTATAAGTTACAGGACTTCCTGACCACACCTCGAATGCAGGTCGAAAGAATGAATCGAGTTAGATATTTTTAATGTCACTTCCCTAAAGTCACTCGACGGTTTCAAAGCGAGGGAAGGCAATGGTCTAAATCATGGTGCCGTCAACCAAAACTCGAGATGTGGAAGCTTAATGCGAGCTCTATGAATCCGTAACCATTTCCACCGAGTCAGGGAAAATTCATCATGAGTGTGTCCGTGTGGAAAGGATGGCCCTATTAATTCATCATACAAGTGGTAGGTATATAAATCCACCTAGAGGTACTAAAGGGATTATCATCATCAAAATATATACGCCTTCCTCGAATACGATGAAAATTTGTACAGCGCTCAAAGTTCAAAGCTCGACTACTTCAAAAAATTAACTGTCCGAGTGGAAGTCAGCAAGTCGCCTACTATCATCGAATCATCTGAATACACAAAACCAACCTGCGAAGAATTCTCCTGGTCCGAGCTCTGAAATGATCCGAACGACGAGGACATACATCAGTCGGTCTCCTAGACGCCAGTCCCCCAGCCTAATTCAAACTTCAAACCTCCTGGTCTTGTCGATACCAGGCCTCCCGCCCTTTCCTCCCCCCCCCACCCCCCAACAGACTCTGCCGCGCCAGATACGATATGCCAGACTCCATGCAGACTTGTTCGAGCAGAGTTCAAGGAAGAAGCTATTCCTGCATTTCAATTAAGATAAGCATGCTTCTCTATCCTTGTAGAGACATTGTTGTTGTCGAAGGGTAGGAAGACGACGACGCAGTCAATATACAGTGATACTTGAAATATGTCAAAAGGGAACTGCGTTGACCTTTTTTACATCTTCGGAAATCGCTTCTAAACAATCAGCTACGAATTTAAGATCCTTGCAAGGACCTGAAGCGTAATATTAGTGTGAGATTTGTTTGGTCAGGGGAATGGGTTGGTATATATCAAAGGGATTGAAGGTTCACGGAAAACTGTCCTTGGCGTTTCCTATATCTAAGGAAAACTATAGAAGAACGAATAACAGAAACAAACTATGAGAACCTGTACAAACATAGTAAGAAGAAATTAACGTCAGTTGGAGAGGCGATTGTGAATTCAAATATCCCCTTCGGGCCTAGTGTTCTTTGCTAACAGCCTCCTACGAGCTAGTTCATCCCGTTCCATCTCTATCTCTATCTCCCCACATGCTACCCCACTTCCCCTCATCGCAATCGGTGCATCTTTTCTAGAGGCATGACTCTTTTTGGAGAGCATCCCTCGCTGATATCAACTAGTTAGTAGTTTAAGTGCAGTGTGAACTGCCGAAATGCGCCTGAACAACTAGTTCTCAGAAGAAGTATAAAGATAGGTTCAGGCATTAAGGCACCGATAGACTCTTATTACCGTAAATATTTTACGCCCTTTCTCCTCCCTAGATCCTTCCATCGCGCCGACTATCGCCATTCTCCCATCCGCCTATTTAGCTCTAGATCATCCACCATGACGGCAGAATCCTCAGTCTTTGATTATATCATCGTCGGTGGAGGTACCGCTGGAGTTGTGATCGCGTCACGCCTTTCAACTTATCTCCCAACGTCCCGTGTCTTGCTCCTCGAAGCTGGGCCGGACGCGACATCACATCCGTCTGTAACGAACCCCATCGCATTTCCCGGCCTCAGCTCCGCAGAATTTCAAGGAAACTCATGGACCGTTGATCACTCCACTGTACCACAAGAGCACTGCAACAACCGCCGCATCTTCAACCCTGCTGGGCGCCTACTTTCCGGCTCCAGCGCCATAAATGTGGGGATATGGATGCGCGCTTCACGCACCGATTACTCGCTTATAGCCGAGAAGGCTGGACACGAGAGATTTACGTTTGAGAAGCTATTACCGTACTTCAAGAGACTGGAAACACATTGGGACAAGGATGCTGAACTGAGGTACCACGGGTTTGAAGGTCCGATTCATACTCTTGGCGGGAGAAAATATCCACTGAGGGAGACGATACAAAGGAGTGCTGAGGTGCTGGGACATCATTACAATCCGGACGCGATGAAAGGCGATCCGACTGGGTTGGCGGATATGACGCAGTGCTTTCGCGCGGCATCAGAATCTAGCTCTGAGCGTCAGCATAGCTCCAGAGTATATGAATTATCGGGCGTACATGTGATGTGCGATACGCCAGTTGCCCGAATTCTCGTGGATACTTCGAAGCGCACAACGGGAGTTGAATTGGTCGATGGGCGAAAATTGTATGCAAGCAGAGAGGTTGTGCTTTCCTGTGGAACACAGAAGACGCCACAGATCTTGATGCTCTCTGGAATTGGACCAAAAGATGAGCTTTCGAAACACAACATCCCTATCATTATCGACTCTCCGGCCGTCGGTCAGAATCTATTCGACCACTCAGCGCTGACTCTATATTTTGCGCTAAAGAATCCCAAGCAAGGGCTCGGTCTTCCATTCGAAGGAACCATGAAGCCTGAATACGGACAAGGCATGCCCTGGGAATTCAATATATTTGCAAACATAC